GAATACTTCAAAATATTCTGGATCAATTTCACGAAATCGACAATTTTTAAAATTTATTGTTCCAAATCTATTTTTGTAATAACCGTGATTTTGGCACAGAATGGCGTCACTGTCATAATGTATTATACTTCTTTTCATATTATTAATACCGCAAAGAAATTCAACAAATCTACATCCTACACAATCATGAACAGTGGAAATGCAATCACTAATTTGTTCATATTTCGAAGAGGAAACAACGAAACTCGTAAAATTTGCCAAAACGAGTGCAAAAAAGAAAAATATTTTATGTTTCATAATTTTGGAAAACGACAAATAGGTGTGAATAGTTGGCAAACTGGACAAAAACTGAATACAAGACGGATAAAAATATATGATAAACTAAAAACGTTAATGTTCGCTTTTTTTCGTTAATGCTTATCGCTATGTACATTGTACAGGAAAGTTTTAGATTGCGGATTGCGAAAACGTTGTTGCACACAGAAAATGCTGGCACATTAAGACAATTATTCTACTGGTATTTTTTTGTATGTGATATGTAATGTTATATTTTTAGTTTTAAAGGCATTACATTACAGTACAAATCCCAATTCTTAGGTGGCGCGACAAATTTCACATTGAAATACGGCGAACTACTGAACTAAATTTATTTATGACATCCCAATGTTTATTTTATTTTACTTTATTTATTTACTCCCTTTTATAAATTCTCTTCAGGCATGATCATATCTAAAATAAGGCTGTCATATATTTTATGTCCATCCGGACCCAATTATTCAGACAAATTTGCTCAACAATCAAGCGAAATCTGGGCAAATCGACTCAAAATTGCTAAGCAAAACTCCGGGTGAAATCCAAACGAAATATTTTTTTTCGACTCAAACTAAAATATCGACCTCAGAAAATCTCTGAAATATTTTTAGCTTTGCATAATGTTTTTATATCACACTGTGATATTATCACAGTTTTCAAGCACATTATATTAACCCTCTAATGCATTATTTTTTTTCTCGACATGAGAACTATTTTTCTATGATTATTTTGGTTTAAAATTCCTTAGAAAAATAATCGAAATTTGAAAAATTGCATACTTTACTCAAGAAATGCTATTGACAAAATTGGAGAACAATCGAATCCATTGTTTGAACTGCTATAAAATTGCTATAAACGAATAGAGAGATAATTTTTTTGTCACATTTCTGTTTTCGCGTACATCTGTGTTAATAATTAAACAACTGCTTTATTTTCACTTCTCAAATGACCGGCAAATGAAAGCCTGAACCCTGCTGAATATATTTTAATTCATAAATAGAATCATTTGTTTTTAATTATATATTTTAGATAATAATGTATACACCCTGCCTAAAGGCAGAGCTATGCACTAGAGGGTTAAAATAACTAGAAAGATCAGTGTTTGATTTGTAATGTTTTGATATTAAGAGGAACAGATCGTTTACCGCGCCACATTACCATGTAGCGAATGCAAACCAAACACTAGTAGATTTAACACCGATCTTTATACCTACAATTAATAACCGAATGTAATAAAAACAAGTGGGAAGAAAAGATATCTTATTTATGTTATAATCCAAATTGCACATCAAATCAAAATAAAAAAAAAGTACTATAATTTTACTTTTCCGCACACACCTAGTGTGAAAGGGGAAAGTATTGCAATAGGTCAAAATTTACGAAACCTCAAAAACATGTTTTCTGGACGTTTCTGAGGTCAGAGAACCCGAATCAGGCCGTTTTGAGCATAGTTGTTGTGGGTCTGTTCCACGTCGTACGTCGTACGTTGTCCGCCGTACGCAAAATTTGTCCATCGATTTTCTCACCACCCAGAAAAGTTATTTGAAATCTGACTTCACGGGATGATTGGAGGTCCCCAGGAAGAGAAATTATCAGATTTTGGGCGACTTTGGTTGATGGAAAAAAATGTCATGCCTGGAGTGATACCTATGAAAAAGAGTCCAATTTTCGTCCAAAAGTCATACTTAATGTAGACTTAAACACTCAAAAATATGTATTGGGGTTTTTTTTGGCACGATAAAACCGAATTCGAGGTTAGTTTTGAGATACAATCAATTTTTGATACAGTTTCCTTGAAAAAATCACAAAGAATTTGGATTTTTGTATGGGAGCCATGCCTGTATGCTACCTTGATGACGTGAAACTTTGCACAGGTTATTTTTTACACAAAAAAATAACATTCTAAAAGTTTGAAGAGATTTCAATTAAAATTAGGGGTACCTCCCATACAAATTTTTCAATTGGCTCGAAAACGAATATTTTGTATGGGAGGTACTCTTGATTTTGGTTGAAATTTCTCCAAACCCTCCGAATGTTATTTGTGAAAAAATAGCCTGTGCAAAGTTTCACGCCATTAAGGTAGCATACAGACATGGCTCCCATACAAAAATCCAAATTTTTTGTGACTTTAGTTATGAAAAGTGTTTCAAAAATAATGTTTATGGCAAAATTAACGTCAGACATATTTTTATAGTATTTTGTTAGAAAATAGAATACTTTCAAATGTCGTACAAATGGTTTCATCATGAAAGTGTGAAAAATCTTTTCTCGGGTACTTCTGCTATTAAATTAAAGAATATTTCGTTGCCGCTTGAAAGACTTGAAAAATCGAACAAATATTATTTTGAACTTTCTTAATAAAATACGCAACTACCACCGTGCGGAAAAGTTCGTCTTACTACCGTAAGACTCTTTATTTAAAAATTCTTCTTTGAAATAAAATGAGAAAATAAATCAGTTCCATATGTGTATGTACTTAATTTAAGTATCAAAATGCGAAAATTGCATAGCTCATGGATTAAAAAGTCATATGAATTGTATAGTTCTAACGTCATTATTATAAGAAACAGTTGCAAAACATGCAACTCAATCCTCCATCTGTCGATGTAGCGAAAAATGTTTATAAATAGAAATAAGATAGTAATCACATGGGACTGGTCAACTGCGATATTTCAACTGTCGTGAAAGGTAAGATTTTGAATACAAAACGCGTCAAACAAGTAGCAAATGGTTTGGAAAATCTCTCTCTTTCAATGAATGATAAATAAATAAATTATGGTTTTTCATTCAGCTCCATTAACGATGCACAAAACAGAAGCAGGGAGAAAAAACAAGCCAATTAATATTTTGTCATTAAAATGGTATGAAAGAGAGTGTGTTTGTGTGTGTATGTGACAGAGACATGTTCATTAAAGCGACAATGTTGTTTCATTCAAACAGACTTGTTGAAGGTTTTTTCATTTTTATTCTCGCAAAGCGGTGAAATTTTGATTAAATGCAACACGGTATCGCTTATTCCAGTTCATTGATTCGGTATTTTAATGTAAATCTTGTAGCCGAAAAAATGCATGCTCGATCGACTGTGAACAGCACATGAATTGGAATGGACGGTGAAAAGTTTACGTATACCATACAATAGATGATCATAAATTAAGTCGAGGTCAGATACCGAAATGTGAATTGAAAAAGATAAAAAGTATTTTTAATAGAACGAATATTTGATTTACACAAATGAAAAAGAAAATGACCAAATGTGATACGAAATGTGTCTTTTCTCCGCATCCAACATAGAAACGTCTTTCAATTGACAACGTATTGTATAATGTGTTTTAATGGACGTCGATTATAGTTTATTTATTGATTTATGCATACAAGCCGACTAATCACATTACAACTCAATTCGTTATCGGAAAAATTCGAAATGCCATCGAAGCGAAACGAGAATGATTTCTTGAGCCAGAAATAATAAGGAGCGCGTGAGTGTTGAAAGACCGAACATTACGTTCACATTCACACAAATCACATTCACATGCCGAGAGAGCGGATAGAGCAAGAGATGAAAGCAATTTAAACGAAGCAATCAAAAGAAACCATATTTTAAATAAACAATCGAAAGAAGTTGATCACACAAAACAACATATCGACATCGGCTTGTTTGGCCCCGTTCATACCACCACCGCTGCCGGCCGTGCCGCCATTCACACCAAACAACATGACGAGAGGAAATTGCGCCGACAAAGGGAATGAAACAGTTCAAATCAATTGATTTCAACGGGCTAATGTAAACAAACTGTCACATTTTAATGTTGATTATGTCAAACATAAAAGACGATTCGAAATGTTCGCGTTGCGCATTCGTCAAGCCATTTCATCTGGTTTTGTTTTGTTTTTTTTTTTTCTTCATGGAATGAATATGCGTGTACATAAACATAAATATTAACGTAAACGAAAGACCTCAAATGACGTTGATTACAGGAAAAAACCAGAGAGAAGGGGGGATGTAGAGAGAAATAGATCTACTCCGAATTAATTCTTCGAGGTGCATGCAAAGGAACTGCCGCGCACAAACCAATTCAACAAAGGTCTTGGACGACTATATTCATTAATGTATGTTCATTCAACGAATGAAAACGTGAGGCGTCAAGAGTATTTAACCTGCCATATCAAAAGCAAAATCATGAAAGCCTCATTTTCTTGGATGTTTGCCGACCAAAAATCGGCTATAATTATCATTTTTTTCCCTTGATTTTTCATTAGATGTGCATTTCGAAGGAACATGACGTTGCTGAAATAAATCGACTTTTTAAACACCAAGTGTCGATCACTCGTCCATTATATTTCACAACACGGACGATAAATTGAACTGATAGAAACGTTTTGTTTATCAGCAAAAATTCAGATTTTGACATTTTTCATTCAAACAAATTGAAAACTCAAGTCAAACGAAGAACTCTCCTTCGTATGAAATAGTCTGTGTCTTCAAAGATCTTTTGTTTGTTTAAATGTAATTTATTTGTTTAGAAATCAGTTGGTGATTAAATGAAAGCCATTAAAGTGCATGCCACAAATTCGACTTTGTTCGGGAAAAAAGTCATCGCGATAAAAGGAATCTTGGCTAATTTGTATGTTTTTAACATGATTGTTAAGCCTGTTTAAAATACAACAGTACTGGCATCATAAAAAAGTGGTTTTTCGGTTTTATCAATAATCAGACAATCTGGAATTGGCTGAAGTTGTTTCGTTTAACTGAGAAAAAGAAGAATGAGTTGGAAAAAAATCCGTTGATATTGCCATAAATTTAAATGGTAATCGATGCTTGTCCATTTAGAAAGAAAAAAAAATGTACGATAAAATGTCCCATTTCAATGAAATGTACATTTCAAAAAAGAATGAACACGCACATAAAAACGCCAGAAATCCAATTACCTCGTTTGACAACACACTCGTTCAATTCACATCGTGATTGATTTATTACAATGCGATTCGTAATTAAAGAAATTCGAATGGTCGACGGAACGAAGAGATGGACGAGATAGAGACTGTCATTCTCTGTATGTTGACGCATTAAACAAAAACATGCCCGACGGCTTGACTTGAATAGTCGCGTTGCAATGATTAATCGCGCACAATGCATTTGCCGGACTGACCATAAAATCGAAGTTCAAGTATTAATTAAGTGCGATTAATGGACACACAAAGAATGAGCCTTTTAAAACGAAAAACAGAGACGGTTTATTTAAGTAAAAAAAAAGTGTTTCGCTCATCGATGAAAAGACTAAAGTGATTTTTGTGTTCAACTCGTTTTACGCTGCTGGTATAACTGCATCTAGTGCACACCAAAGGTGTTTAAATACAGTGTACTCGAAAACTGGTTATCTCATTAAATTATTTGATCATCATGATGATGACTATAGAGATGCATGTTTCACAGATTACTGCATGCGTTTGCGTTTGTTATCGCTTCATGTTCTTGTGAAAAGATAATAAATTAGTTTCCGTGTTGGTCAATTGGCCACTTTTATATCTGTTTATTCTCATCGTGCGATCGATCATTTTGCTACATGACAGAGCAACAACAACAAATGCAATCATTGCCAATGGAATGAATTTTTTTTATTCGACTCAAAGTACAGTGGAAAAATTCACGCAGAGTGATGGATTTAGCACATCGACTAGTTGTGAAGAAAGTGCAAGATCATTAATTAATTTTATGAGATTTTTTAAAACTTGATTGAATTTAGTTCGCTGAAACTATTAAAGTTGAAGCATTTTTTTTATTGGTTTAATAATAATAAATGAAAAGTTGACGTTGACTCTTTTCAAGTTTTTTCACCGGTGCTTCAGCGCTAAATTTCGATATTCAAAAGAATATTGAACGACATTGAAAAGATAGATTGCATCGAATAAAATATATAGCCTTGCATTTTTATTTAAATCGTACCCTCCGGCACTTTTCCATTCATATTAAAACCTAGACTCTTTCTTTCTACCGATCCCGTTACATTTTGATCGAATAACGGCGAAAGGGATACTTTTCAGCCACTTTTAATCAAATTCAGATTAACGTTATAAATAATAATGTTTTAAATTTTAATATCCGTTCCCATTTTTTTCCGTCTGTATAATCATTAGAAATGGGAACGGTTGAACTTTTATTTTCATGTCGAATAAATACCCACGTATTAATCAAATTAACGGTTTGATCGACGTGATTTCGGTCGAACTTGAAAAAGACCAAGAGAAACTGTTGACGGTTTCCCTTGTGGCGAAAAGTTTATTTCCGAAAACAATCCACCCAAATCGCATCATATGTCTTCTAATCAGAGAGATACGGTGATTAGCAGCGATCACGTGCACGCCATAAGGTCGTCTTTTAACCGTAAATATAGCATAAAACGATGTAAAATCACAATTTGGCATTTTGGGTTTGGCTGACTTGTTGATTTTCACCTTTATTCAGCAATTAGATTGCATGTCCGGCATTGAAAATTCCGACAGCCATCATTGAATGATCGTTAAGCATACATAAACATTCACATACACACATATATTCAAAAAAAATTATGAATTAACAAACCATTTATTATTCTGTCTGTTCTATTTCATTAATGAACATGCTTTGGGCGCCACTTTACAATCGCTCTGCCCTTTGTATGTGCTGTCCATTGTTTGATGCATCAGAAAGTGAGATTTTTTCTTCAGACATGAGCTGGTCGGTCGGTTTCATGTTTGTTATGTGTATGCCGTTTTGTAGCTGTCATTATAACGTGCGATATAACTTAAGCTTGAGCACATAATCATGTAATATAGATTTTAATCTGGACGAAAGACGCGGTCGCAGCACAAAACCAAAGAATTTTAGTTTTTTTCGCCTCTTCTCTGTCTCGCGTGCGCTCTTTTACTCTCTCTCTCAGTCGATGATTTCAGCTTTTTATTTCATGTTTTGTTCTCACTTCATTACTATTATTGTTGACGTGCATGTTTTCGTTTCGGCCCGTTTCGTTGACCATCATGAAAAATGCACGGCAAAAAGGGCAATGCGGTTATTGCATTTCATGCAGACATCATTTCTAAACCAAACGATAATTTTCTCATTTTACATGCTTTTCTTTCTCTGCATACGCGCTCGTCCGTTCACGTTTCAATTTTTCGAAACTTAATATTGAAAACATCATAAAATCAGAACCAGAGAAAGAAATAAATAAAGAAAAAAACAATGCATCCGACTACTCCTTTTCGCTGTAACTAATTCAATATAGCATTAAATTACACATTTCTCGCATAATAATAATCATCATGCACATTGCAAAAATCATTATGAGCACCAGCGATAACTTTTGATTGCAATGTTGCCCTTTGCGCGCTTCTTTTTCTTTCTCTTTTTCCCATTCCATTGCGAGTATAGTTTTTGTTGCAATTCACTCGTTTTCGTCCATTTTCGTCTTTGATTCGCATATGCCAAACCAACCAAAGAGAAAAAGAGTTTTTTTTCGTTCCTCTCAAATTAAATTTTGTAATAAAGTAAAATAAAAGGAGGCCTTTTTCGCTTGATTGAAATCACATGTAATTAAGCGATATTTGCGTGATTCCGCCGACAGCCAAACCTTAATAGTGGCATCTAAACAAGCTGATTTCAGTAATAATCGAAGAGGAATAATCTCGCTTTTTGATTATATTTTAATCGACGGTTTGAACCACAAAACATAGATATTATCGAAAATAATATCATTATTTCCTTAGACGATTCTCTATTGCAAACGGTTGCATGGTGTACTGCGCCGTTATCCATATGGTGCGTATTACAAAAAATATTACCTTGCATGTTGGTGAGTCCGATTTTAAAATTGCTTTGACTTTGGAACTCGTTTAATAAGAAACTATAAAAAATTGTAATGAATCGATTCTCTTCGTGTAAATAATTGCTTTTTATTTTATTTCAAAAAAAAATTAGTTAGAATAACATAAACATAGTGATGATAGGATGTTTTTCGAATGGTGGCCACTGTATCTTACGATAGCTCGATTCCCTGATCATAATCGGCTGGTACGTTGAAGTATTTTCTTCGATTTGCGATAAAAAGCATCACACAGACTGCTAGCAATACAATAATCAACGTTATTAAATATGTGTCTGTGTGTGATTTGTGTATTAATTTCGAGCATTGTTCAATCAAAACATTTTTTGGCAATTTTACTTCGTAGTTTGGTTCGTTTATAACGAGATTTGTATCAATGGTTGGTTTACATTTAATGCTTCGAATGCTTGTCTCACCGGCACTTAGGACTACTGACTTTGGATCGACCGGCAGACGAAGTTTGTCCCAATTAACCGACTTCAGAAAATGTTGCAGGTAAGTGCAGTTAAAATTGTTCCCTCTGATATCCAGCAATGTCAGCTGTGGAAAAAGTTCATTTTCAAATCCATTCAGGCTTGTAAGTTGATTTCCGTTCAAATACAGTGACACCAAGTCAGGTAGCATGGGTATGAAAATATTAAATTCCATTTGTTTTAAATAATTCTCGGCCAAATCCAACGAGACCAATTTGTGTTGATGTGAAAATGTTCCGAGTTCAATGCTGGAAATGTTGGTTCGCCTTAAGTTTAAATACTTCAAGTCTGGCAAATTGGCAAACGTTTCAATTTTCACATTGCCTATTGGATTAAATGCCAGATTTAATTCGATTAATTTTGTATTTTGGTTGAAAATGTGCTTCGGCAGTGTTTTCACGTTATTCTTTGACAAATCCAAATGCAATAAATTCGATAGATTTGTAAACACTCGTTCATCGAGCTCGGTCAATGCATTTTGTGATAGGTTCAGTGTTTCAAGTTCATATGCACCTTCAAAGGCGGATGCATCGATTTTCTGTATCGTATTATTCGCAAAGTCGACATATTTTAATTTGTTGGCATTGATGAATATATGCGATGGTATTTCGGTGATTTTATTTTTCGATGCGATTAAATGCGAAACATTCTTTGCTTCAACGAAATATTTTAATTCCAGAATTTCCATACCAATGTCCGAGATATTAAACGTATGCATATTCGGAAAATCGACGAAGAAATTCCGGCGCAGTTGACCAAATTGACAATATTTAAAATTAATTGTGCCCAGCCAAATATTTTGCATGTTATTGTTACGATTTGAACATTTGAATCGATTTGTACTGGGAAACACGTCACTCTCTTTTCCAGAAATTGAACATATAAATGTCACATTATAAGTACCAGCGATATGTGATGATCGATCGTGGACATAACAATCACTTATCTGTTCAAACTTTGCAAAACCAACAACGAACTTAACAAAAATTATACAAAAAATAACCGACAAATAAACGGGTTTTAACTTCATTTTTTCGAACGAATTGTTCCGAACCGATAACAGACCTAATATTTTGGAAGTCTCAATGATGACTGAAATGTAAATGTGACGAAAAATGCAATCGAAATCGTGAAACTTGACATTGATAAGCGTCGTTATCTGTCTTTAGAGGAAGCAAAGTACAAAACCATACGCATAAAACTATCTGCGTGATATTGTGATGCGAACGCATACGCATTGATGGTTTTTTTTTGGGTTAAAAATAAACATATGTGCATAAATGGACGATATGAATTCCATTTCATAACGATTGTATTTATAATGAGTTCGTTTAAAATATTTGATAACCAAAAATGATGACCACCAGCGAATGTTTTGCAGAGTAAACTATAAAGAAAAAGAAAAAGTAAAAGAAAGAAAATACAGAAAAAAATTCCGTTGAATTTACAACATTTTGTTTTTATTGATTTTAAAATTACAATACATAACTTAAAACATATATGCGTGTGAATTGATGATTAATTTTATAAGTTACATAAAAATGTCATGAAAAATGTATATATTCCCATAAATTATATATCATATAATGGTCTGCGTCTGCTTTTGACTTTAAATGTAGTTAATTAGCGTTCTTTTATTATTAAAACTTCGGAATGGTTCTTAAATTCCACGCTACTTTCGGGCACAAGTGGCCTTTCATTTTGTTGATGTTGAAAGGTAACTTGTCGTTTGCAGATTTGATCCAGATTCGCAATGACATATACAATGAAGAATATCAATAGAGTGACAAAAATCAATATCATATAAATATTGAGCAAAAATGTATAGCTGGTGACAGTTTGTTTTACTTTTTCAAGTGTTTCAATTAATTTTTCGCGAAAACTTTCAACTTGTTCAGGGCTGTTATTGTTTTCCATAACTTTGCAGTTGATGCCTCGAATGCTTTCTTCGTGTGGTTTGGTCGATGATTTATCTAACGGAAGTTCAAGTTTTTCCCATTTGATCGATTTCATGAATTGTTGTAAGTAATCACAGTTGAAGCTATTGTTTCGAATGTCCAGCAATTCCAGTTTTGGGAATAGGTCATTTGCAAAGCCATCCAAATGGGTGAGTTGATTTTCGTCCAAAAATAGAGATCGCAAATCGGGAAGAAGTGGCAAAAAGTGGCTGAAATCCAATTCTTTCAAATTATTTTCGGATAAATCTAATCGAATTAATTTTTGCTGATGTGAAAACGTTCCCAAACGAATTGTTGAAATGTTTGTACGTTTCAAGTCCAAATTTTCGATTTTCATCAAATGAACGAACATATCGATTTTAAAATCACCAATTGGGTTAAATGACAAATTCAATTGTTTCAATTTCGTTAAATTATCGAATGAGTATCGTTCCAAAATCGATAAGTTATTATTCGACAAGTCCAAAAATTCCAGTTTCGGCGCTGATAATACATTCGATTTGAGATGATGGATTTTATTGTATGATAAATTCAATATTTTCAAATTGTTCGCACCCAAAAATGACAAATTATCGATTTGTTCGATGGAATTGTTGGAAAAGTCGGCATTTGTTAGGTGCTCCGCACTAAAAAATAATAGCTGAGGAATTTCCGACAATCGATTTTGCGATACATCCAAATAAGTTAAATTCTTTGCATCTCGATAAAATTCCACGTGCATTATTTCCAATTCCAAATCGGACGCCAACAAAGTGTGTATCGATGGAAAGTCTCTGAAAAAATCGAAGTCCATGTCATGAAATTGACAATTTTCAAAGTTTATCTTTCCCAGCCACTTATTGTCCACTGTGTTCTGCATTTTTTGGCACTTGAATTTTTCGGAGTCAAACAAATGACTACTTTTATCAATTTCACCGCAAACAAATGTTATATTATCATCACCATAATTCTGACCAGTATTGTAAAATTTACAGTCATTGATATGTTTGTACTTTAGAGAATGTACGGAAAAGTTTGCAAGTATTGCAAACACTATCACCAAAACGTTCAACATCTTTGCGGTGGCAGAACGGTTTCAAAACTTTTAGTAAGTAGAATTTTTCGTGTTTATAGTTCGAGATCACAAAAATAACTGAATCCAAAATTCTCAATTCGTTTCATATCGAAAAGTCATCTGTCATTAAGAGCCAACATTACTAAATGCTTTTTTTTAGGTAACACATGCATGGAAATACCTAAAGACTTTTTATATGGGACATTGGCAATTTTGCAAATTAATATATTAACGAAAATATTATTAAATAAATAATTTTCCTTGTCTGCAACGATGGGATCTTTTGTTTGGCTGTGGAATATTTTGACGATTTCAAATAGTTTCATTTATCACAGCCAAAGTCATAAATGTCTAGTCAAGGTGAATACAAACAAATGTCACTGTCGCTTGTCATCGGTCTATTGTCTTCATTTTTAAGGCTCAAAGGTCATATGCATCCGATATGTTCTTTTCTTTTTCAAGTGTATATGTGTGCGAAACAGTGTTGTCATGTGTACGTATGTACTTGTGTGCGTTTGAAAATGATACTTTATTCACTTTCAGTTGTGTAGTGTGTATACGTATAGTGTACACATATACATGCATGCAAAAAAATGACATTTTTGAATGTTTTAAAATGTATAATGTAGACTAGAACACGTTTGTAGGATAAATTTCATTTTCTTTCACAGTTGATACTTACAATTCGTAAGTTGTACTAAATTGCAGCCGGTTTCGATTTTGATTTTGTGTGTATTTGTGCCATTTGTGAATTATTAGACGGCAGAAAGAAAATATATTAAGAGAAGTGCTATTGAATTCAATCGTGGAATTAATTAACTGTCTACATTTTTAGAAAACAAAAACAAAAAAGTTAACATTTTTCAAATTATAAAAATGGCGTCCAATGATGGTCAAGAAAGCGGTGAAATTGATTTGTCAGGTGAGAAATTAACCAAATTTCAGCATTTTTTTTTTTGTTCATTCAATTTCGAATTTTCATCAAATCTTTCCAAATTTACGTCGCAAAATGTGTCGCAATATTTTCAAAACAAACATCTTCAATATTTTTTCAAATATAGGCGAGGTTCTAAAAACGTTAAGTGACATATGTATGAAGGATATACATTCTGATGTGACACTCATTGTTGAAAACACGAAAATACCAGCTCATAAAACAATTTTATCAGCCCGAAGTCCTTACTTTCAAACATTATTTAATGGTAATTTTGCTGAATCAACCAAGGACGAGATCGAATTAAAAGTTCCGTTGGATGCATTCAAAGAGATTTTGAAGTACATTTACACGGGATGCGTATCGCTCGTCAGTTTAGAAACCGATATAATTATGGATATGTGTAAATTGACGGAAATGTATGACTTTGGATCACTAAAAATGGCTATGGCCAAGTATACGACGGGAAGCGTTACGATAAGCAATTGTGTTTCAACTCTAAATTCGGCTGGTTTATATTCAATGAGCGAATTGCAAACTGAGTGTTTGACATTTATGGATCGGAATGCCAGTCCTTTACTGGAACACGAGACATTTAAAACACTATCACAAGATTCCCTAAGCACATTATTGAAGCGGGATACATTTTATGCAGCTGAAATTGATATTTTCAAAGCGGTCCAAAATTGGTCAAAGCATAATCCAAATGCAGATGCAAAAGTGAGATCAGGATACATTTATCAGCACTTTCAGTAAATTCATTCATATTTTGAAATTTGTAGGAAGCCTTTTCATTTGTACGATGGTCATTGATGAGTTCCGACGAGATATTTAAGACTGTTTTACCAAGCAACATTTTGGAGCCAGCTCAGATTTTAAATATGATGAAAGATGATCGTGACTCAAGTGGCACGGCATCTCGTATTCCATGTATGTATAACTTTCATTCAAATATGACTCTTGTCAATGCATTCCCATAATAATATCAGTTTTCTTCCAAATCTTAGTTACACAAGAAAAAGACTTGACAACTTTGAATCTGGCAACTACCGAAAAGGGCGCAAAAACTGTTTGCGGTGGAAATGCATCAGTTCTTTTGGACGGAAATTTTACGGACTATGACTTACGTGCAGGTAGACTAATTTAATTAGTCCAATTGATAGATTAATTGTAAACTTTTCTTAAATAAACTTCACATTTTTTAAATTCATTTAACGTATATTTTAGGTTACACATATCATAGGATATGTCCTTTCTACTACCCTAAAATGTACGAAGATTTTAATGGAAAAAAGAAAATAAGTTCATCAATAATTGTTGATCTTGGAAGAGTCAGTATGATAAATTTCATTCGGATTTTGTTGAATGACAAAGATGATCGCTCGTATTCATATGTGGTTGATACATCTATCGATGGTGTTCAATATGAAACACTTATTAATTACACACGAAATTATTGTCGATCTTGGCAAAATTTGTATTTTTCTCCACAGCCTGTTCAATTTATCAAGTTAGTTGGTAAAGGAACTATTGGTATGATCCATCGCCGACATGGTTTCAGTAAGTTCTTCGTAAACAAAATTCCTTATAGATCGTTTGATGTAGTTGGATTGCAAGCAAATTACCTTTCAAAACAAAACGTAGAAATGATTGACGGGTTTATTAAACCAAATTATAACATTGCGAACTTTAAGATTGATTTTGGTGTCAAAGTTATTAAGGGCGTTGGTGGTAACAACATGTTAAATGACAATCCAAAAGAATTTACATGTCACGAGAAAATCCTCGGCTGCATTTTATTACAATTTAATCAACCTTACTATATTGGTTCGTTGCGAATGTTGCTTGGAAATGATAAGTACAATTCCAACAGATATTCGTTCTATATTGAAACTTCCACTGATACAAAGAAATGGAAAATGGCAGTTGATAAACGAAGCGAGAGTCTATCAGGATGGCAAGAATTCACGTTCAAACCACGCCCAACAACATTCATCAAACTGACTGGAATTCAAACTGACATTGTATGTATTTTTATTCACTGATTTTATTAGAAATTACAATGCTAAGTTGCAAGATTTCTGTAATATCCCTTTTTTGTTTCAGCCTTTCATCTGTACCTATTTCGAGTGTCCATGCGATCCGAATAAACCACTTATCATGTCAAAAACTTTTATTTGATTTCAATTACTCAGACAATATATTGAATTAACTGGTCAGTTGAGCTGACAGTACGTTAGCCTATTATGGGCTAAAACAATAGACGTTATTGTTTTAATGATGAATCACTTCTCTTGCTTTAATAGTAATGATTGTTCATTAAAACAATAACTTCTATTGTTTTAGCCCGTTTAGCCAGCTAACGTACTGTCAGCTCAACTGACCAGTTAGTTCAATATATTGTCTGCAATTACTTCAAACATTTATAATCTAGTAAATGGGACAATAGTTGAGATAACTGATTTTACAATGCAAATTTTGTATTTTAGTTTTAAATTTTCAAATAAACAATATTTAAAATGTTATTTACATTGTTACTTCTAAATTATATTCTGTTTGTGTAATCAATAATTAAGGGTGGTTGTTGATATTCCGCCATTCAATCGACGAAAATTTGTAAATTTTATGAAACGATCTTTATTCAACACCAAAAACAAAACGAAGAAAGTTAGCATAACGACGCACATGAATATCATGGAATATTCCAGGAAAGTGGAAGAGCCCCCATTATCGGAATTCTTCTCATTTAACACTGATATGTCTTCGCGTAATTCCGTAAGATTGCCCGAACACTTAACACCCCGTATACTTGTTTCGTCCGGTTTAATTGAATTTGATTCAACCGGAATGCGAATCTTTTCCCAGTTGACCGATTTCATGAGTTTTATCAAATGCGAACAATTGAAATTATTATGTTTGATGTCAAGAGTCCGCAATTGTGGAAAAAGTGAATTTGAAAAGCCATCCAAATCGATCAGTTGATTTTCGTCCAACTCGAGTGATTGAAGATCGTGCATGATCGGCATGAACAGACTGAAGTCCAATTTCTTTAAATTATTTTCGGATAAATCCAATAAAATCAATTTATGTTGATGTGAAAATGTTCCAAATTTGATGTCTGATAAATTGGTTCGTCGCAAATTCAAATATTCCAGGTTCGGCATAAACGAAAATATTCCGACTGCTAAATCGCCAATAAAATTATTGGATAAATCCAAGCTCTTCAAATTGATGGTTTGGTTGAATGTATTTTCATCCAAGCCAATCACTTCATTGTTCGATAAATTCAGAGTCAATAAATTGTTCATATTAAAGGCTTGTGGATCAATTTTTTTAATTTTATTATATGACATATTTAGTGATTTTAAATTTGTCAAATCGATGAATGTCTCACGATCGATTTCTGAAATAGCATTTCGTGATAAATCCAATACCTCAAGACTGTAGGCATCCGTAAATCCCAGTCGATCGATTCGTTCAATTGAATTATTGGAAAAATCAGCATACTTGAGTCGTTTTGCATTGACCAATAAAAATGCTGGAATTTCTTTCAGTGAATTTTGCGACAAAATTAAATTGCTAACATTTCTTGCTTCACCGAACATCTTTGCATCGAGCTCTTCCAACCCCAAATTCGATATGATGAATGTGTGCATTCGGGGAAATTGTTGGAAAAAATTTCGTTCGAGTTTCGGAAAACGACAACTTCGAAAATCGATCGTTCCCGGATAGTAATTTAGCACATTTCGCTGATAATTTGAACAACGGAATTTCGTTTGATCGACGAAAACTCCATTTTCATTCGGATAGTTGCCACAAATAAATGTTACATTATCGTTTCCAGTTATTATTGATCGATCGTAGAAATAACAATCACTGATATGGCCGTATTTTTGGGCGGATAACGTAATATCGATTGAACTCGCGCACATAAACAAGAAATAGTAAAATATTTTGGTCTCCATCATTTCAGAAATTTAACTTGATACGGTAAATTGAGTTGAAATTGTAAAAAAGAAATTTATACGTGTTTCAATGGCAGCAGTTAAAGACTGATCTTAAATGAATTTTTGAAATAATGTTTTAATAATTTTTTGAACAATTTTATCTCTTAACGGAAATTCAATGTGCAATAAAGTAATATACGTTTTAAATGCTATATCAGAATGTGGGCAAAGTTCGATGTCGATAAAAATTCGTTCGCACAAAAATAAGGTACCGAATGGTACCACATTTTAATAAGAAATGAATATATGATTGGTGATAAAGAATTCGTCTTAATACATTTTTTTCGATTACTTGATAGAAATATCAAAAAATGCAGAGTCAACAACATTTTTAAACTTGAACTCAATAACAAAATTTCCCAACAGGATATTCTTATCACGGGCTAAACCAACTTTTTGCGACATGTACACAATCTTTTTCAATGAACGTCTCTTATTATTATTATTGTTATTATAGACATCACCACACAGTCGACTTGACCTTGTAACATTGAGGTCAATTTTTAATTTTAATTTAAACCTATATTTTGTGTGAAATGTAATTTATTGAATTCCATTTATATGACAATGTAATGGTATGTAGTTTTATTTCAATTTTATCCTAACAGTGATTCTTTATTAAAATATTCTACTCTATTTGTTGCTGTTTGTTCGCTATTTTGTGAAAAGATCAATTTCGGGTATAGATTCTGTCGTGATTTCGTATGATCAAATATGCCAGCATTATTATGCAAATAAAACCCAAGATAAGTTTTATAAAACCGTTATCTTGCGAACTTTCTGGTGAATCTGCATCGGTAGACTCGTCATGTCCAGTCGCTTCACAATTGATTCCCCGAATGTTCATGCCCTGTGGATTAATTGATTTTAAGTCAACCAAAAAACGAATCTTTTCCCAATTAATGGACTCCATGAAGTGCTCCAAATATCTGCAGTTGTATTTGTTATTATTGATATCAAATAAAGTCAACTGCGGAAACAAAGTATTCCGAAAGCCATTCAAATGCGATAGTTGATTTCCGCCCAAATAAAGTGCACGCAGATCATGTTGAATCGGGAAAAATAGCTTGAAATCGAATATTTTCAAATTATTTTCCGATAAATCCAATGAAATCAATTTATGCTGATGTGACAATGCTCCACGTTCAATGGTCGATAAATTTGTGCGTTTCAAGTTCAAATGCTCCAAATTCAGGAGATAAGTAAATCTGTCCGATGTTAAATCGCCGACTGGATTAAACGATAAATTCAGTAATCTTAAATCACTCAATTCGTCGAAAGCGTGTTCTTTGATCATGCTTATATTATTGTGTGACACATCCAGTTCCCATAATTTGCATGTCGAAAAATTACGCGAACTCAGACCACTCAATTTATTATACGATAAATTAAGCATCCTCAAGCCCGAAAGTCCAATGAACACTTCATCCAATGCTCGGAGATCGTTATTGGAAAGATCAAGTGTTTGGAGTTTATTTGCACCCGCAAACGCTAACGAATCGATGCGCATTATTTGATTTTCCGAAAAATTAGCGAATGTTAGATTTTTCGCGTTGATAAATACCAGCGTCGGAATTTCAGTCAAGTGATTTTTTGATAATATCAATTTAGACACATTTGTTGCTTCGTTGAATATTTCTTTCTGCAGCGATTCCAAGCCAACATTTGATAGGTTTATTGTGTGCACATTCGGGAAATGTGTGAAGAAATTACGTTTTATATGGAAGTTCCGATTCCAAGTGGATAAGCTTTTGAACAATTGATTTTTTTATCATTGAAGAAAACTAAATTTTCACGATCGATTTCACCACAAACAAATTTTACATTATCATTTCCAGGTGTATCACCACCCTCGTAAAAATAACATTCACTGATATGTTCATAGTTTTGAACTGAAAAAACAATGCCAATTATATATGCAGAAGCAAACACCAAGCAATGCAATGTTTTTGAATTCATTTTAAATGGAAAGAGTGCGCACGATCGAATGCTAAAACATCCAAGCAAATACTGAATGCAGTTTTCATTTAAACCTTCATAAAGGTGTAATGTCAAATGCCTTTATTAAGTCCAACTTCATGCTACTAGTAGATTCGGAATGAAAATAATGTTTGAAAATTCTATGATATTTCGAAAAATGAACTAATTATTTTGGAAATTTTTAATCTGTTTAGAACAAAATAAATTTTTAAACATTTTTTGTACTAACACTTATTATTTAATTTTCACTATTTCTATCAATTCACAAATTATAATTCTTAGCACTAGCATGAAGTTGGTTATATGTCAACCTTTCTTCATTCGTATAAAAACATATTATGTTCACGCACACATAAATGTTGGAGAGTTTTGACAATTCCTCTAAATCAATGCATCTTATTTGCAGCAGAGTTTGTTGATTAAGAAAGGAAGTTCAAACTTCACAGATATGATGAGTGTTTTATGGCATTAGAAATATTTTTGAGCAAATAAATAATAAATGTAGGCGATAAAATAAACTATGTACGAACGCAAGCTTTCAATTTTCTTACAAAATCGAGGAAGTTCATTGATAAGTAGGCCAAATTCTTACTTTGCCTTGAACTAAATTTACTTACATTGTATACAAATGACCTCTGATTTCTCCTTTCACCTTTTTCCAAAAACATAAAAAATGCACAAGTAATTTACAGGATTTTATTCATAAAAACACTGTTGTAAGTATTTATTTTGAAGTTTCAAATAAAATTTCTATAATAGACAATACTTTTTCAAATGTTACTTTCAAATTGTTTCTCATTTGTGTAATGAATATTAAGATTGGCTGTAGATGGTCTTCGGTTAAATTGACGAGCATTTATAGCTTTATAATAATAAATGATCATAACCAAAAACAAAACAAAAATTATTAGAGTAATGATGTACATGAATATCATTGTATTTTTTATAAGAGCGATAGAGTCTCCAATATAGAAATACTTCGCATCTAACGTTGATTTGTTTGCCGTTGAAATATCGTTACTGGTTCCTTCGGGTAACTCTGGACGATTCATGTCTCTGCACTTTACACCCCGAATACTTGTTTCGCCGGATTTAACCGAATTTGCTTCAATCGGAATGCGCAGAGTTTGAAATAATGATTAGTTTTTTCAATTCATTTATTTGAAAATCAATTACCATTAGTTAATGTAAATTGAAATTTTCAATTTATTTTTTTCAATTCATTAAATTGAATTTTCAATCACCATTTACATTCAAATTGAGAAATGAATTGAAATTCATTTCAATTGTGTGAAGTTGCAGAGATTCTAGTTGGCTCCCATATTACTACTCTCGATTGTTTTCAATTTTTTACCGTCAATTCATTTATTATAACATTTTGAATGTAAATTAAAATGTATATATATTTAAAATTTAATATTGATATAAAAATTAAAAAAATTAAAATTTGAAACTGTTTTCATTGCTGCGATTTCTTTTAAACTTATTGACACAGCAACCGTTATTGTTGAATGTGCGCATTCAAATATTAACCTCACTTTTAACATTAGCTATGCACAAATGCCGCATAAGGCATCAATCTCTGCAACTTCGCCGTTCGAGTGTAGCCATGTAATTGTTGTTGTTCTTTCGTGTGAAGAGAAAAGGCTGTATTAAATGATGTATTTTGGCGCTCGTTGATAAATATGTATCGCAATATTTATTGACATTGAGAAAATATTTTTTTAATAAAAAATAAATTTTTGTTGAGATATCTAAACTTTTGTATAGATTTAAGAAAAAAAATCATTTATACTAATAATCTATACATTATTCCCGTGTGTGTATTGACATGTATGTGGTCACAAACGCCAGAGGTGACGAACGCCTCAATTTGCCTTAAAAATACGGGTCTTCGAAGAGATGCTTGAAAAAATCTAAGAAATTGCCCCGAAGGATGGCTATTTTTTTGTGAATACTGAAGAATGGATCTCAAACATCTTGTAGAATACTTATTTCAATACATTACTCCAAAATGTGTGTAAAAAAAATTCATTCAAACAAAGAGTGCCGCATTTTCTCAAAATGACAACAAATGGAATCGAGTGGCAACTTTGAAGTGATCTAAAGTGGGTTTTAAGCATTATTCAAGTAAATATTTTTACTGAATGGTAACTATTAATGTCTTACAAAACCCATGGAATACATTTTGAGGAAATTTAAATTCCAACTGGTCACCAAAAATCAACGTAACGACGATAAGTCACAAAATCTGAGTTTTTGACATTATCTCGTATTCCTTGCCACTATTTAGTACTGCGTTGTTCAAAATAGCGTTTTATCATCTTGGATGAGATGCGACAATGCCAAAAGAATAATACATGTCAATTTTGACATTTTTGGACAAAGATAATCCGGTGTTTTTTGTGAAAATGTAAGCTTTCAGAATTTCAGTGAAAAGCCATCTCGGGAAGTCATGCAGATGATGTCAGCATTTGATGAGTTTTGATACGAATCGATTCGTTATTTCGAATTTAGCTTGGGGGGACTTATATCTGCGTCCTGGGTTGAAAAATAGTTTAAAAATAATGACTCCTCTTTCGAATAAAGCCATAAAATTGAGAATTTAGGTGTATTTTGAGGTTATGTTCTTTCAAGTGCTATAATTTCTGACTCAGTGGACGGATATGGCTCAAATTTCGTATGTATGCCTTGAAAGGATGGTACTTTCCAGAAACATAATGGATTTTGTTATGGTAGCGCCCTTTCTTAGAAACGATACGAACTTTTCAGCCCGCCTGTTAATTATAATTGAATGAATTGGCATTGTAAAATTCGAAACACTGGGAATGCGAATCTTTTCCCAGTTCACCGATTTCATGAATTTTATCAAATGCGAACAATTGAAATTATTATGTTTGATGTCCAGAGTCCGCAATTGTGGAAAAAGTGAATTTGAAAAGCCATCCAAATCGATCAGTTGATTTCCGTCCAACTCGAGTGATTGAAGATCGTGCATGATCGGCATGAACAGACTGAAGTCCAATTTCTTTAAATTATTTTCGGATAAATCCAATAAAATCAATTTATGTTGATGTGAAAATGTTCCAAATTTGATGTCTGATAAATTGGTTCGTCGCAAATTCAAATATTCCAGGTTCGGCATAAACGAAAATATCCCGACTGCTAAATCGCTAATTGAATTCTCGGATAGATTTAAGTGTTTCAAATTGACGAAATTGGTATAGTTGAATGTGCTCTTATCTAAATAATGCACTTTATTGTTCGATAAATCTAGTGCCAATAAATTGAACACATTAAAGGTTTGTGGATAAATTTTCCTAATTTCATTGTATGACAGATTTAGTGATTTTAAATTTCTTAGATCGATGAAAGCGTCACTATCGATTGTTGAAATTGCATTTCGCGATAGATCTAATACCTCAAGACTGTTGACACCCATGAATGCAAAACGAAAGATATGTTTAATTGAATTATTGGAAAAATCAGCATACTTGAGTCGTTTTGCATTGACCAATAATAATGCTGGAATTTCTTTCAGTGAATTTTGCGACACAATTAAATTGCTAACATTATTTGCATTACTGAACATTTGCACATCAAGCGATTCTAACTCTAAATTCGATATGATAAATGTGTGCATTTGAGGAAATTGTTGGAAAAAATTTCGTTCGAGTTTTGAGAAACGTCAATTTCGAAAATCGATCGTTCCCGGATAGTAATTTTGCACATTTCGCTGATAATTTGAACAATAAAATTCCATTTGATTGATGAAAACTCCATTTTCATTTGGATAATTGGCACAAACGAATGTTACATTGTCGTATCCAGTTATAACTGATCGATCGTAGAAATAACAATCATTAATTTGTTCATATTTTTGAGCAGATACCATTATAGAACTCGCGCACATAAACAAGAAATAGTAAAATATTTTGATCTCCATTATTTCAACTTAATACCGAAAATTGAATATGGCAAAAGTCTTTGAATGATGTTTGGGCAATCTAGTTACTTTGGAAAATGGATCCTTACACTCCATTGAGTAATTTTTAACTAACAGCAAAATATTATGCGTTTCAATTCATTGTTGTAATCTTTAAGAGTATTCTTTCATCAAAGTTGAACTTTGTCTCACATTGTGATTAGTACACAGAGAGAAAAAATGTGGTATTTTTAATTCACGTTTGGTAGATTTAATATAAAATCAACCAACAACGAATTAAATTTACCATTTT